CTTTTTTATTTTTTGAATTTATTTCTAATAGACGTTTACCGATTAAGAGATTTAGTATTAATTATTTTATATGAGCAAATAGAAAATCCGGAAAAGTTTTATCCGGAATGACTAAAATTATATGATAATGATATATATCAAATGATTAACTCTAACCATTATCAGTTAATTGTAATCGATGTTTTTCATCATCCCTCTTTGCTGTACTATCAATGGTTTTATCATCTGTAAAAATTTAATTTAAAATAGATAAAAGTAAAATTTTCAGTTTAATAATTGCATAATTTTTCTTTTTTTTCCATGTATATGCATATAAATATGAAAAAATCAAAGATCATAAAACAAAAAAAAATTGGAATTTAGAAATTAAAAGAAAATGAAAAATAAAGTTTAAAAATTTAGCAATAAATTAGATTTTTTTTTATTTTTTGTAGTATAAAAGAGAAACAGAAAACAGTAAATGTTTCAAATTGACATTTTATTTTTGATGAAAATATTGCTATCATATTTTTTGCACTTTTTTTAAATTCCTTTACTTGAATATAACTTATTCCTTACCTTTACCATACTTACTTACTTACTTACTTACTTGTTCATTTACTTAATTATTTACTTACTTATTTAGATATTAATTTTTAATCATGAAAATTGATTTAATGTAAGCAGTAATATTAATGTAGCATATAGCATGTTTGAAAAGAACATCAATGTTACAAATGATTTTCCGTATTCGGATATAATTTTTCCGTATTACAATCAAGTTAACATCATCCTTTTTCTTTTCATCTCCGCCCAATTGGAAATGTTAAATTTGATTAACTATTTAAAAAGATTTATGATATAACCGGAATATTTAAAAAGATTTATGATATATCCGGAATATTCCCCTATATCTTCCGATCATATTTCAGCAATAAATTTATGGGGACAAAAACATTTGACATTTGACAATGATAATAATATTCAATAATATTAGATGACTAATTACAAGAATATATATATATATGTAGTTTCTTTATTTAAATTACTTTTAAACCAATTGACTTTCGAACTTTTCTTGTTTAATCTTTCATTATTACCTATAAGGTTAATTAAATTTTAACAGTAATATTATTTGAATTAGTGATAACCTTCGATAATGATTGAGTTATCAACATTTTCTGCTTTTGCTGCATGACATCTTTGATGTAAAATATTATCTTGTGATACATTTATGCCACTTATAGTTTGAATCTCAAATGAATCTTCTCGTCCTGTATTACTATTGCTAAGTGAATCTGTAAAATTTTAAATCATTAAAACAATTAAAGATTTAAAATAAATTTGAAATTAATTTTAAATAAGTGATATATTAAAATTTACTGTAATTAATAAATGGTTATAATTATATGGTAATCGAATGAAATGAACGAAAAGGATAGTATAGTATTGACAAATTACCTAAACTGGTTGATCTATCGTATGGGATGGTCATTTTTTTAATGTGGTTATTGACTTTCAAAGTGCTCATTACACAGGATGGTCACTTTCTTCAATGTGGTTATTGACTTTCAAGAAGCTCATTATACGGGATGGTCACTTTCAAGAAGCTCATTACACGGGATGGTCACTCATGGGATTATTGATTTCCAAGTGGCTTTCTCCAGCTAATTCAAATGTAATACCACCGGAGAAGCTAATTTAATTTAAATAAACTAAGATGATTAATTTCATTAATTATAATTTGGAATTTGAAAATTTCAAATTAAAAAATAATTTTGAAATGAAAATATTATTTTCAAAAAATAAATCGATAGATAGATGAAACGAGAGAGAAAAAAACAGAGAAAGAGAAGAAAATAATTAAAAATAATAGTGTAAAATTTACTGTTTATCCAAATTTTCAGCTTTGGTGAGAGGAAAAAATGTATGACAATTGCGCCAATTGTTGCACATCCAATACTTACTAATGCGCATATCCACATTGGTAACTTTGATAAATGAAGTACTGTAAAAAAAAAAGAAAAAAAATGTTTGTACAAATTTATCCATTCAAACTTTTTTTCTCATACCTTTTAAATTTAAATTTAATTTAAAATTTATATAATTTAATTTTGTATATTATATTGCTTACATTTAGATCCTTGATAACTAATTGTGAAAACATTAAATACGATACAAAACCAATAAAATACTGGCAAAGCTCTTAATCCACAACGAAATGGATTTTTCTAAAAATAAAAATACAAATTAATATTGATATCATAATAAGATCATACATTCCCATTAATTAATTAATTATCTTTAAGAAATAAATTTCATAAATATTCGAAAACAAAACAAGATTTATAAGGGTCAAAGGTGATAGAAGGAAATTTTAAATATGGACAAAAAAAAAAATTCACTTAACAATTACCAATTGTAAATTTACCCTAATCAATGATGCTAAATAATATTTTACTGAAATATTGGAAATAATATGGAAAAGAAAAATTCAAATTTAAAAATTATTGAATAAATTTAAAAAAGAGAAAAAAAATGAAACTTACCCGTCTAAGAACAGAATGATCAAGAATAATATAGAGAATAGCTGATACGACACCAGATAATATTGGTGACAAAAACCATGAAGCAACTATTTGAGAAAAAAAAGAAAGAAAAATGATAATTTGAAATAATTAAATATAATTTGATAAAATATTACAATTAATAAATTTTTATGATGCAAAAGGAGAAAAAAAAGAGCAAAGATAAAATGTTAAAAAAAAACTTAATTAAATTTTTAATTAAATATTTACAAACAAATTTATTTCATTTTAACTCATTTAACTTTTTAAAAATAATAAAAATTATTATTTTTCCTCTTTCTTAATGTATCATAAAGAATTATTAAAATGCAAACTTTCACTTTTTAAGTATTAAAATAAAAATTTAAATTAAAAATTTTTTGAAATTTTAACAAAAAAAAAAGACATTCTAACCAATATGAACAATTTTTCGCCATTGTATTCCAATAATACCTCTTGTCATTAAACCAAATCCTACTGTTGCACCAGTAATACTATGTGTTGATGATACTGGTAAACGAGCAAGTGTAGCAATCAATAACCATAATGAGCAACCTATTAATTAATTTCATGTTAGGTGAAAAAAAAGTTTTAAATTATTTTTTAAAATTTATTTTTGTTAATTACCTCCAAGAATTGCAATTTGCCCAACAAAAATTTCTTTTGGTTTATCTACATATAAGGTTAAATCGATAACACCTTTACGTACCGTATCCGTTACATTATAACCTAAAAAATATTCAAAAATATTTAGGGAATCAAAATTTACATCTAAAAAAGAGAAACAAAAGATATAAGTTTTACGCAATTCGAAATAAATAGATGCTGGTTTTTATTAATTAAAATTTTTTTGACATTAATATTTTGAAATATCTTACTTGAAGGTTAATTTGATCAATGATCAGTGATTATTTGATTAGTAATCAATACTACCAAAAAGAAATGTAAATTTAAAAAAAAAATCAATAATTCATATCTTTCATTATTGTACATAATTTTACGTCAAAAAAGTGATAATGTTGAATGAAACAATTCAAAAATGTGTTAAAAAAAGAAAAGAAAACAAAAATTTAAACAATATCTTTTGTCGAAAGGAAATTTTTTCTTTTTAAAAAAAAAGTGTTGCAACATTTAATAAATAGTATAATTTTTATTTGTCGAAAGAAATTTGTAAAATTTCAAATTTACCAATAAGTAATGCTCCAAGTGTTTCAAAAATAACTGCAAGTATATAAGCTTGCCGTAAAGTTAACACTTTGCTACCAACCGATGTGCCAAATGCATTTGCAACGTCATTTGCGCCCATTGCAAATGCAAGAACAAAAGCCAAAATTATACCCAAAATTAACGCCCATAAAACATCATTCTAAAGTAAAATTTGAATAAATTATTTGTTTTATGTTTTTCCAGAAGATGCTGTCTAGATGACAAACTATTGATTGATAAATTACTGTCTGATAAATTATCAATTGATAAAGTATTGATTAATGAGTCGCCGATTGATAAACTATTAATTGATAAGTTACAGATTGATAAATTATTGATCGATAAGCTGTTGATTGATAAAGTATTGATTGAATAATATAAATTGTTCATCACCAAAAACGGATTGTAATCGTTAGAAAAAAAAGAGAAAAAGAAAATTTTGCTATTAAAAGTATGTAAAAATTGTAGAATGCATAATTCATAATATAATAATTTGTCACAATTAATTAAGTAATTAAATTAAATAACTTCGACAAATCTTAAAAACAAACTCGAAAAGCAGCCATAAATGCAGCTGATATTGTGGATGAAAATGGTATTAGCGTCGTTGACATCGCTAAAGTTGACATTTTTCTTCGTTTCTTGGCTAGCTCTAAAGATTGAATATGTTTTATGAAATGAAAACAAAAAAAAAGAAGAAAAAACGAAGAATTTAGTCCAGTAATTAAGTATTACAAGCAAGAAAAAAAATGATTTAAATATAAATCAAAACAAAAATAATCAAAATTATTAATTAGTAAGATAAAAATATAATTTATTAAAGCAAAAAAAAAAAGACAGGCAATATAATTCTTTACAATAATATGAATTGAAGTAATAATTTATTTAAGTATTTAAGTAGAAGTAACAATTTAATAACTCAAATAATCCATTTAATGTTACTAAGTTCAGTTTAGATATGAGGCAAAATTACGAAAAATAAAACAGTCTAATCAATATTTTAATTTTTTTTAAAAAGAAAAATGAAAATCAAAAAACATGAATGAATTATATCGAAAAAAAATTTTTTTTTTCATTTCAATGACACGAAGAAATGTTAGAGTATCTGAAATAATTTCAAAAAGGAAAACATATCTGATGATTTATTGATTGATTAATTAATTTGTTTATTTGCAGATGCTAACTTCTCGGACAAAAAAAAAGAATATTAAAGTTGTGGAAGATGAAGAAAAATTGCTAGGCTAATTCTCCTACATAATTAATTACCGCATGTTTTTTTTTTTTTGCATTTTTAATTACCTTGTCAAATTTAATGGATTTAATTAAATTTTTTTATCATGATACCTGATATGAGACAAACTTGATGATATTTTCTCGAAAGTTAACCTTTCTTATCAAATCACCGATTTTTTCGCATTGAAAAATTTAAAATAATTTAGCAACCTAATACATTTCAACTCTTATATTATCAATAAAAAATACAAAATAAATGAAAATTTATTAATTTTGATATGTAAATTTTAAGCATAAATACTTTGAAAACTTTTCCAAATTGCACTTTTTAAATTTTTCCTGAAATATTCCAAAAAAAAAAGAAAATTCTAATTGATGATAAGAATTTATTAATCACTTTTATTAATTTTCATTAGTAACCACTTATTAATCAATTAAAAAAAACTGAAAATTCCGGAATTTTTTACTAAATTTTAAAAATCTTTTTACAAAGAAAAAAATATAAAAATTAATTTGAAATGTTTTATCAATGTTAAATTTTTTTGATATATTCAAATCATTTTTTATTGCAAAAATTTTTATACATTGAAAGATGAAATTGTTAAATTTTAATTTAACAATACATATGTGTATATTTTATAAAAAATTAGACCAAAATGAATAATCTTTTTTTTTCGCTTAGAATGAAATTTTCGTCCTTTTTGTAATTAAAACAACACTTCAAAGTTTCAATTTCACAAAATTTTACGATAAAATTTCAATTTTAAAATAAAATATTGCAAATATTTTGCATAAAAATTAACCAAAATGAGCAAAGAGTTTTTTTTGCTTAAAAAAAATTTTTTTTTTTGAAATCGAAACAAAATTTTAAAAGTAAAATTTGATTTTGCAAATATTTAAAAATAAAATTTTAATTTGATAATATTTGAAAGTAAAATTTCGATTTTTTAAAATAAAATATTTAAATATCATCCGCTTTTTTTTTATTGTCTTTTTTTGTACATTTTATTTTAATAATGAAAAAAAGAAAAAAATGCGTGACATTTTATTTAAGACAAACATAATAGGTGCAAAAAAAAAGAAATGAACGAATTATTCAAGAAATTGAACGGAGTACTTCGTATTAAGGGAGAAAAAGGGAGAAAGAGAGAGAGAGAGAGAGAGAGAGAGAGAGAAGAAAGAAGA